TACATAAAAGGACATACTTTTTATATTATTATATTTATTTGGGACCGAGTACGGACGTAGAAAATACATTTAGATGTGACTGTGTGTTTTGTGGAAATTGATAAAAGAAATGTTTTATTAAAGTACGTGCTAAAACATATTTATTATAGTAAAATTTTCAGTCTGAGTTAGTCTCAGATATTAAATTTACTTCCAAAATATTCTATTCTCGCTGTATATTGTTTACGGCTTTGTCTGACAAACTGAAGATTATAATTTCATTGGAATTGCAGCTAATGAAAATCTTATTATAAAATTTATTCAAAGCAACATTTTTATATGTTTTTCCAAAGAAAATAAGGTCGAAAACAAGTCAAATTGATATGTTTCTCCGGCGCACGTGCACATCAAAGGAAAAGAAGTTGGCCTGTAATCCGTATCAATAACGCAAGCCCTCTGTTGTATAAATCATTTGAACTGTGGGAAAACGTTTGGTCCAAGTTAAAAAAAAAACTAAGCTAAATGATCTCCAAGGAATATTGAAACCATTTAGCGGTTTTATTAAAACGCTTATGAATTGACGCTATCAAATAAAGTTTTTGCTCTATTGTCCTGAAATATAAATGATAAAATAATATTAATAAGTTTATTTTATTGGATCCTAGTTCCTGTAAGTTATAATTGCGGTAAATCCAACCTTATATATAAAATAAAAAATATAAAATGTAGTTATATGTATTTATAGTACAACAAAGATGACAAAATCTGTCGAGAAACTAGATATTATGAATTGGTACCTTGAATTAGAAATTTGAAGTTTGAAGCAATGACAACTCAAAAAAGAAAACATTCGTACCTGCAAAGTTATTAAATAACCTCTCAGAAGTAATTATATCTTTTTAAAAGAATAAGTAGTCATATTCGTATTATGGTACAATATAAATATGGCATGCGATTAAGTTATAGGCGTATGCGGTAAACTAAAAAGTAATAAATAGCCTAACATTGCAATCACAGCCTTCCTAAAAAAAGTGATAATAAACTTTGAAACCTGATTACATATAAAGTAATCGCTTTTCCCTTCACATTGGACTGGATGTAAATAAAAAAAGGGTCGAATCAATAAGGAGTTTAATCCCGCGGGCAGCGTCCAAGATCTCATTGGCCGGTACAAATTGACAGGGAAGTGGCGCATTGAGATCGCTGTTGTTTTGTATTGCTTTATGTTTAAGTGGAAATCCCTTTATAAATAGAATGTGATAAACCTAAATAACATACATTGGACTTTATATTAGGATAATATGTAAAATATTAGACTTCTCTATACAAAAGCTACGAGTATCTTTATCCTCATAAATAATGTTCAACAATGGGGAAATAAAATATAGAAAGCGCGTCTTCATCTATCACTATAATTGGCTATCGTTATTGTGTATTATATTTTGAATCTTAACGTGTGAATTTAAAGATGATTTTGCAGTAGAGATCTCGTAAGCACCTGAACTCTGCTTCTCGAAGTACTTATAACACTGAAGGGTCCACAGAGGCTTTCGGTGTCCAAATGATATTAGTGGTTAATATCACGTATTATATTGTTTTGACGTGAACTGAGATATAGGACTGCTGTTAGATTAGATAACTACTAATATTATAATTGGAAAGTTTTAAACTTTATATGGATTTACTGAGAGAAAATGCACTATAAATCACTTTGTAAAGATCTCTTTTAAGAGAGTTGTTCATAATGAGATCTAAGACTTTGTCGAATTTTATTCATTTAAATGAAACTAATATTTTTCGAATATACTACGAGATGTCTCGTCTGCCCGTGATCACAGTTGCTGAAAAGTAACCAAAACATTGGTATGTAGTTTTTACAAAAATAAATCACGCGTAGTATCTGAAAAATATTAGTTTCATTCAAAAGTAGCCGAAATGTCGGGACTATATAGGTTTTTACAAAAATAAACCACGCATAGTATATCCGAAAAATATTAGTTTCATTTGAATATACCTGTTCATGTATAGAAGGCAAATTATTTGTTGTTTCATAAAATATTTCATACGAATTATTTTCTTTTAATTCATAGAATAATTCTTGAATTGTATAGAATAGCTGCACCAAATTCTGTTATCAAAAGCCGCACACGTGCCTATGTTTTTTGCGCTGGCGTACCGTGCTCTTATCATCGCCATAGATTATTTCCTGAATTGCAAATTTCACGCCACTGTTGCAGTTTCACTGTAATTTCTTACATCGGCTTTACTATTACTTTGATTTAAAAAGATTGTCTTTTAGTTTGTTTGTTCTGACATACTAGAAAAAATAGATTGATAAGATGTTATAGCAATAAAATTCATAATAATTGCTAGGCGTTTATAAACGTGAATAAAAAAATTAATTACAAACTTAATTGTATTCTGTAAGTGTTGGTATATCATTTATGACTCTAAACCATATTTAAAACGTATTATCTGAACTTATAAATGCATAAAATATTTTCTTATATACATAAGATGTTAGATAAGTTTGTAAACAATTAATTGAAAATTAAATCAGCATACCAAAGAAATTGTCATTATTTTTAAATGAAGCACAATATTATACTTATCTTTACGTCTTTTTTCATTCAATAATCAACATGTAATTATATTATTTTGTTGGTACAGATATATCTTATTATTTAGTTGTATATTTATATTCCCATCACGTTTCGTTTCTGGACGCTTGGCTTGTATTCGCCTCTGTTAACTCCGCTTTACCAACACCCGCTCACTGAGACTCGTTAGACTCTTGTTTTATGACATTAGCGGTCTAAGCGGTCTGCTGACGCCTAGACTTTAAGGATGCGATACTGCAGTGTTACTTGTGGTTGTATATAAACGTGTGTATTATACGCACACACACACACACACACACACACACACACACACACACACATACACACATATCTATATATTACTCTGATATAAAAATACCATTTACCATTTATTTGTATTTATAAATAGTAACTGATTTACAAGATCGATGTAAAAAAGTATATTTTAAATATTTATTTTGTTCAAAGTAATATATGTATTTTAAACATTAGTATTCTTGTATTATCTCGAAAAAATAGTAAAAGTTTTATATCATAAAAATGCAGCCAATGCATCACCGGTCATATTTAATAAATAATTTCTTACGAAACAACAAAGAAAAAAATATCGGTTAATTAAGAAATTCATTAGTGTTGTTTTCAAGATTAGAATTCTTAAAATAATTAAAAAGTATACTATAATATATCCGCTAAATTATTTCTTAGTCAATATCAAGTATTAAATATATAACTTACACGTACTACGAACGAAAGAATTTCTATAGAACAAGTAACAAGATTAGAAAGAAATTTAATTACGACCGTCTGACCCTGTATCAAATTAATATTTTTCTTATATTTTTATTTAGCTTATTATTATGTTTTCATTTTTATGTACCTTAGAAAGGAATAGTTTAAGACTATGTAGTGGAAAATATACAGGTTATGAGTAGTTATTAATTAATATAAATATTTAAATTCCCTAAACTTTAAAGTAAGGACAATGAAATAAGGGAAAATAATTGTTTTCAACTGATGTACTCTAATGAATTCAAAGAATAAAAAATCCAACTTGTTGAATGTTAAGTGTAGACGCTCACTAATATTATCAAGGAAGGCGGCGATGTGGTAAATTCATTTTCCGCACTAACGACCAGCGAGAATGAACTTTGCACTTTTCCCGATACAAAACTATTATAAGCTGTAAATATATGGAAAGTACTTCAATACTTTAAGATCATATATTTTCTATATTATAGATAAATGATTTTATTTATTTTAAGTCGCTAAGCTAATAAAAGTTTCTTTGTATTCATTAAGCCGCTCATTAGCGGTAAATCATCAGTTGTCTCATTAAACGCAACCAATTAGTGAACTCCGGTTTTTAGCGGTAGACTTGCAAGGGTTATGCTCGAATGATATTTATGGCCATTTATATAATATCAAAATTTATCTTAGTTTCAATATAAATTCAAGAAACAAGCAACACTTGGATATTTTGAATATGAACAGTGTACATATGTTCTAAAGACATGTTTTCTTTAAATGGTAGAGGTGAAAAGGTTATTGCTAGAAAGTCGTTATCGCCGCATAATAGCAAGTGTCTGTAATCAAGCTTATCTAAAGACAAGCGTGACCCGACTCACTTCTTACTAACATTAGCTGGAATTATACGAATTTATTTTAAGCACCGTCTAAGTCTGTTGGTTATTCTTACATTGTAAATTGGCTGAGAAAACACGATCGGATCAAAGCGGTAAGATGGAGCTCATTTCTATTTTCCTTTGTTTTCAAATTAACCTATTTGTTAACAATATAAGAGAATTATTATGTAATGATGTAATAATATGGTTTTTGTGTTCGAATCTCTTTGTTTCAAATATCTTTTATTAAGTGATTCTTATAGTTTATGTTTTATAAGAAAATCTTTTTGAAATTTAAGTGTAGTTTTTATCTGGAAGATTATCTCAGAAATTAGTTTTTTCAGGATCAAATTACAATAGGTTACGTATTAAATAGATGATGCTTAATTTGAATTTTGGGATCTCTTTGTTTATCTATACTTAGGAAATCTTTTTGATATAAGGTTATTTATTTTTTACCTAGAAAATTACTTGAATTGTGAAAATTTGTTTTCTAGGTTCAAAATCAATAAGTTCCGTAATGAGATCTAAGATTTTCGAGAATCTTTTTCATTTCAATGAAACTAATATTTTTCGGATATACGACGCGACTATACTTTTGATAAAAACTACATACTCCCGACGTTTCTTCTGCTTTTCAACATGTATGTAGTTTTTATCAAGAGACAAAACCTTTCAGAATCCATGGATTCACCGTTCGGGTGGCGGGTCTATCGTGTTGCAGGGCGCCTAGTACATATATCCGATAAATTTTAGTTCATTTAAATCAATAACCTTCGTATTGAATGATGGTGCTAACCTTGCCAACTCCAGTGGGTTCTTTGACGCCCAGTCTCCTCAGCAGGGCTGGAGGTGGTGGAGGTGGGGTTCTATGAACAGCCGCGCTGAATCCTGATGATATCTGTTCCTCTTCTCGCCGTCTTCGTTCCCGGTGCGGTGAACCATTGCTGCATTTTGTTGGCCTGCAAATATTTTACTCTGTAGTTAAATGTCCTATAATAAAATGCTTGAAAAATAGTGACCTTTAAATTGTTTTATACTTTTTTGATATATTGACATCTATTTTAAATAAAAAATATTGTGAGAGAATTACGTAACCTAGTTTTTTTTCTAGCTTAGTTTTGTCAGCATGTGGCCCATTGCATATCCTTTATATTGAATAAAATGTAGTCTGATGCTGTACCTTATAGTATCAAAGAGATAACTCTCAGATTACAAAGTCAGTGTAGCTCAAAGCAACGGAAGACGAAAACAAAAAGCAGGACTTAATTAAAGAACTGGGTTCATTGAAAACGGAAACCCCGTCTTGACAAACCCCTAAGAATTCGAAGTCTAAATAAATGGGCAGTACGTGAGGTGTCGGTGACGTTTTGAACATTTTTCAAAAATTCGCCCCGCGTCAATATCGGGGCATAAAGGGCCGTGCTGATGGATGGTTTTTACGTGACAACAGAACGTATTTTACTTTAATGCCGCGAGCTCGTTGCTTAAAATTGAAAATTCTCAAAGCACATTCGATAGTGATGGATTAGAAGTCTCGTCATATCTAACGTAGGTGATATATTTTCCAGTTTTACGTGCTCCGCTAATTTTATTAGGCTCGGTGTTATTTTACAATTTTACCTACATTTTCGATTCTTCTTATAAAGCCAGTTGAGGACATTTACTTATAGATAATTATTTATAAGGTAGTTATATGAAATATTTGTAAAAGTGACCTCAAAAGCTTCCCATACCTACATCATTGGACAAACACCGTGTCGTAGCGTGCCGTGATCGCGTGCTAGCTCCAGTTTATTGTGTTTGGGACTATTAACATTCTTATAGGGGAATGTTTAGATAACTCGACGTGCTAGAGCGGGCTTCGTGTGTCGTATGTGATATTCAATGCTTCCAACCTATTGATTCTCTCAGTATTGATAACGTTGTCTTTTATTGAAACTATCAAATGTAATTAATGGAGTTTTCTTCTTAATTAATTTACATATAACAATTGGACTAACACGGAGATGCATTAGCAAATCAATTCATTAATAGCTTACCATATAATACCTTCAATTTTGATCCGCGCTCGTTACCTTAGCATGGCTGAAGAGCTTTTAGTTCTAGTACATAGTTATCGTGACGTAATTTGTGTTGTTTGCTAATTGATGAAATTTAATAACGCAACTGACCCCCGTGGCGTGCCTCTATACATTATTTATTCTAACTTCAATATATCACAAGTAACATGCGCTTACAGTTTGGATAAAATAAATTTTAATACTTTTTACTTTCTTTCATTAGACTGTAATGTGGCCATTAATTTGATTTGCTACACCGCGGTGTATTTCAACAACTATTAATATTTAATTTAGATTTTTTTCAAGTGCTGTTACAATTGTTAATGTATTTCTTTTATTCGAGCATACATTTACAAACAATAAGTCTAAAATAGTTCTAATAAGTCAAGTTCTGTTCTAATTATTCTGAGAGTCGTAAAGTTAGACTGTGAAGTTGGTAATTGGCAAGCGATTGATGGCTCCTCAGAGTTCACTAAAGAATGTTAAGAAGTTTTAAGTAAACATAATAATGAATAATATATATCAATCTTGATAATGGCTTATTTTTTATAAAAACTTTCCTTCTATAAGACTTGCTTTAGCGATTATATTGACGATCTTAACAAAATTATCGTATAAAAAATGAGGCCAGTATAAAATAATGTAATATTACAAAAATAGCTATAATATATTGATATGATATACTATGTAGTAAAGTACGTCAGACGCTAGTATTGAGGAGTAAATGAAAATACCGATATCTATTTCCGATGTAGTCATTCATCTAGCTGAGATCGGGGTCAACATGCTCTTTGAACGTATATTGAAATCTATTTTAAAATTTCACATTATACGAAGTGATCATTGTAAGTGGGTTTTATTTTTCTTTCGATTAATACAGTTACTCTTTTAGATTGTAAATTTAGGCTTTTAGATGGTTAGACTTTTATTCATGTACTGTAATAAGTTGCATAGAAGGAGAATGTACCTGTTATATATCAGAAAAGGTTAAGTTATTTTAGTGTCACCCCGGAATAGAATATTAGTACTCCGTATAACCCTTTTAACTGCGGCTACAATTTTCATTCACAAATATTTTATTAATTTCTTTGGCTTCCAAATCCATTATATTTACTATGGGATATGTCAGTCGATCAGTTTGTATTTGTCAATTGAAAATTTCTACTTATTATAGTTTAATTCACAAATTGACAAATGGTTGGTCAATTCAATTAAAATTTATGACAAATGCAAAAAGGGTTGGACTAAGTAAAATGGTTAGAAATGTATGATATGCTCTTTTAACTTCCAGTTATGAAAGACATATTCACTCCAAAGTTTAACTTTTTGATTCCAAAAGCGAGTTCTATTATATGAAAATTTTATTAAAATACTAAGTTATTTCCCATCTAAGGTAAACACTAATATTTGTCTATTCTTTATTTAATAAAAATGTTTTAAAGTTTATTTATGTCAACAGAATGTATTTCGTTCTTATAATTCATCTAAAGATATCGCAACTCCAGTTTCGTATAAAATCTCCGGTCATATGATAGAAATCTCGCAAGGGTTGTTTTTGCTTCTATGATGTTGTTGATTTCACGGGTCGATGACCTCGCTGAAAACAATCTGGGAAAGGTCGCCTCTTGACATTTGATAACTTCTTTGGACCGTGAATAAGGCGACGCGGGCATTTCGTGCAATTTTTGTCATTTTTAAATTATATATATGTATACGTTTTATTGAATTGTCTGCGGGAAGCTTGGAAATGAAACCGATATTAAATATTTTTCAAAGCAAAATATTATTATAGTTTTTGTCTTAAACGAGATTTTGTCTTTGTTGAATTTTTAAAGGTTTTTACCCGATACGATATAGTCTGCTAGCATGACGGAAAATGAGTTAATAGAAAAAAATGTAAGTAAAAAAATGCCTCGTTATTTTGCACTTTTAAATTCATTGCAGTGTAATGGTGTCAAATAGCGGTATAAACGTTTATTAGGGTTCGTGATTTGAATTATTCGTTACCAGCCTAATGATTTACGGCGCTAAATTCTTTTGAATATATGAAACTCGATATGAACGGACATTAAAATGGCATTATAGTTTTAATTGGAATTTTATATTTGAATTTCACTGAAGTTAATGGAAGTGTCGAATTAATGGGAATGAATAATTTATTTTATTACTAAAGATATATGAAAAGTATGAATATTAGAGTTTAGATACAATAGCGATGCAAGGAACAAATTGTATAGGCTAAATTATTTATCAATGAAAATTATAATGAAAGATTAAATGTTTTGTTATTTAGTATTTATAAAATATAAAGAAAAAATAACAAGAACTTTTTTTGAATCTTTTCCTGTAACAATTCAGTTACATTAAGAATGGTTTGATGTCAAGAAATATAATTTGAAGTGACTTTTTCTACCGGCCCTGTAATATCATTCAAAGCATGCCTCGACCAACATTTTGCTTCGGATAACGCAAGAAATTTTATTTCAGGAAGTATTTCATATTTTCCCAAACAAAAAAGAACTTATTCCGATCTTCCTTGAATAATATTAAGATAGTGTCTCAAACTTATGCATGCCATCAAAGTTTTGAATTCGTACAATTCTCTTACACCTTTTATTCCCGACTAGACAATTTTTTTGATGGCAACTTTACATGGCATCCAGCCAAGGTACCACCAAATAACGAAGCCACCTGTCAACGGAATATAGTTTTAAATTATACTTTATTCCATTACAATAAAGTATACAATAAACGTATCGTCAGTGAAGCAACGTTTGTGAGCCAGCATTGTTTGGGAAAATGACGGCAATAAATATAAAGGAAAGCCTTTAACAAAACTGTCCGATCGAGTTTGAGCTTTTCAATACATGGTGTACGGCGTTTTGGAATCGTTTTAGTTTTTCAGATAAATATTCTAACCGCTCTTACATACTATGAACTTGTTAGGCAAAACAATATACTATACCTTTTATTGCAACGTACAAATATGAAGCACATATTAAAATTGCATTAAGTTACAATAATGTATAGAATTATTACAAAAGAAACTCATTTAAATTAACAAGATACGAACATAAAATAATATATTTGGTTATTATATTAAATATAAAGGAATAAATGAAATATAAATATTCACTTCATTAAGAGGTAGAGCATTAAACAAATGAGGGTAAATGTACCTTTCGTGCCCTATAGGATAGCGCCGTATAGAATGAATATTTTATGTGAAAAATTGCACTCCACTAATGCTTTACACCGCGGATATCTCAGAGTTAAACATCACGTACTTATTTTTCATCCCTTTTAAGGCTCTTATCTAAAGGGATAAAGGTAAAGCCGGATAGAATAATGGTATTGTTCATTTTTGGAGTCAAAGAATTCATTTTATGAGTATACTAAAACTTATGTGTTGCAAGTTCTGGAGATGTCGCTTGTGGACGAGTCACAGTTGAACTTTGACTTATGAATTATTTATAAGAGTCATCAACCTCGGATTCGTCATACACGTTTAATTTAATACTAATGTAATTTTCGTCATAAACAAAAGAAAATTTCCTAAAATGCACTTACTACGTCGTCAGACTGTGACTTTATAAAAAGTATTAAAGGTTGTGATTGAAACATAATTTTATAGTTTTACATAAAATGAATAGCAATTAAATAAAGTATTTATGTTGTTTAAGATGTGTTCGAAATTTTTAATACATTGCCAAGCATCAAATATTATGATAGCTATTATATCAATTGATTTGAGAATGTACAGCATTTGGCCAAATAAAAACAAAACTTCTAAGAAATTCACTGTCATTCTTTTTTTTCTTTTATTGAAGTTTAACTAATTCTCTTTATTTAGGGCAATGCATGGAGTTACTTTATGGAGTCTACTCCAATTTGCTACCCAACCCCCAGGCGACGGACCTTTCACAGACCAGTCTGTCCGTCTGTTTAAAGTATTAATAGTAAATAAGTCTTATATTAGGAAACCAACAATTTGTACAAAAATTTACTCTATTTAACACAATAATAAAATTTAAAATTATATAACCTTATATTTTTTATAATTCTTTCTATAAAATTGTACCATTAAATACTTAGCTCTCGTGTCCATTCGCAGACCATTATCAGAAAAGAAATATTTAGCACAGTTTTAATATTCAACACCAGTAACTCGGAGTAAATTGTATGAAAAATTAATATTTCTTAAAAAATATGTCAAAAAGCATTAATGGACATTATCAGTAATAAAAATACATCACTTCCATATCCAACAGTATACCTATTTAAATGAGAAATTCCGGCACAAGCCACGGGATATTAATAAAGGAACCGGTCTCTTTGTATAAATTCTTCATTAGAGATTGTTTGTATTGTGCCGCCGGCTCTATGGCTAAATCTGACTTTTTCTGTCAGCTTAGTTTAAGTTAGTGGAGATTGCGATTTGATGTTTTACAGACCAGAGGAAATCTGCTGTTATCATGTAACATAACCGAGGAGGTCCTATGGGATAAAGTAATTTTACAAAAAGAGTTACAAAAAGTTTAAAGAGTCAGATAAACCTTTCGTATCTGTACGAGATCATTCTGTCTGAATTGTTTCATATTTATTCTAGCCCACATTCACCCCATGCTGAAGCTTCCTTACTTTACTGGTGATGCAAAAGTTTCCGGCAAGGAACCCCCGACTTTGATCTACAGAATGTATGAAACAAAGGGACAATTCATGTAACGATTTATATCTTTTGTTTAGCATTATTTTAATATTCACTGGAATTTTAGCAGACTTAATATTATATTGTTTCTATGGAAAGTAATAATAAATGTGAAAACAAGTGTAAATCATGAACATCTGTCCCTGAAAGCTCCTCATACAGTGCACGTGCTCGTGAGGACATAACTTCAGAACTAAGCCGTAAAACACGAGAAAATTCTTCTTTATAGCCTTACAAGACCCCCAAGTACTGCAGATTACTATTCTCATTTTATAAATGTCAACGCTTCAAACTTGAAAGGGTAAAGATTGTAGG